AATTTTATTAGTGAAATTATGGAATATTCCTTTCTCAGGACATGGTTTTTATTGCTAAGGTATGTCCCTATTGGTGTCTCAACTGGGTGTTACGCCTGAGGGATCAAAAGTTTTTCAATTCTGAGTGTACTCGGTTCTTACCACCCTATTACCCAGCATAGTTTCATCCCTAGTAATTCTGCTTTTCTTTCATCATTGTAGTATGTTCTATTTGATAAAACTAATGTAGTTTCACCGTGTGCCTGGGCCTGCCTAGCTTGGAGCTATAGACTTACAGGAAATGATCTCAGAGTTTTCTAGGTTATCCATTCCCCATCACCACCATGTATATGTTTCCTCCTGTCAGATGACATACCCCACAAATTGTGCCTGCTTCAATAGACTATTGTGGGAGTTCATCCTGTGAATGTCTCTTTTCCCAGGGATTGCTGTATAATGTTGCTTATTTTCTAATGTCCGAAACAGGTGTTTCATATATTTGACCTGCTGTATAATTCCTTACAATGGGGCTAATCTCTTAATGGTTAGTACAACATGACTGAGCCAAAAGTAGAGATGTTGTTTTTATCATATAATTTTTCTGCTTTTATTCATACAACATATTTGATTTTTGTTAAAATGAATACTTGATTTGATTCTTTTTTTTAGTTGGTTGTTTTCTTATTAGAAATTGTACATTTTGGGGTGCCTGGGTGGCTCAGTTGTTTGTATCTGCCTTTGGCTCAGGTCATGAACTCAGGGTCCTGGGATCAAGCCCCATATCAGGCTTCCCACTCAGCAGAGAGCCTGCTGCTCCCCCTGCATGTGTTCTCTTTTTCTCTGTCAAATAAATAAATAAAATCTTTTAAAAAATTTGTTGAGACTTGCTTTATGAACCAGCATATAATCAATTTTGGTAAATGTAGCATGTGCATTTGAAAAGAATATATACACGTTATTCTTAAAATATCAAATGTTTCATAATTAGAATGAGGTAGCTTTTTTAGTCACATTTTCAATTTGTCTCAATTCTTTGTGAATATATTTTCTTGATTTTGCTCAGTTTGTGGTTTTGGTGTGTTGAAATTTCTCACTGTAATTATGAATTTGTCTCTATCTTCTATTTTGTCAAATTTTACGTACATCTTTTGGGGATGTGTTAATAGATGTATATACTTCTAAGATTTTTATATCTTCTTAATGGAATTATCCTTTTATATATGTCTGAAAATCAATTATCTAAGCCTCTATCATAAGAAACTTTTAAAAAAGTAATAATTTAAAACAAGACAAAACAAAAAGTATAAGGAAGGAAATAATAAAAGATTAGAAAATTAAAGAAAATTTTTAATGTACTCTATAGAAAATGTAATATGTCAAAAAGTACTGTGAAAAATACTTTTAATACAACACACTCTAGCCTATTTCAACCAGGAAAAATAGAAAGAAAACCCATTAATATAATAGTTGAGTATAGTATTGTAGAACTTTTATACATCAAACTAGCAAAAGACAAAAACAACAAAAATATAGTGAATTATTTATACCAATACATTAGAAAAATATATGAGGGATCCCTGGGTGGTGCAGCGGTTTGGCGCCTGCCTTTGGCCCAGGGCGCGATCCTGGAGATCCGGGATCGAATCCCACGTCGGGCTCCCGGTGCATGGAGCCTGCTTCTCCCTCTGCCTGTGTCTCTGCCTCTCTCTCTCTCTGTATGACTATCATAAATAAATAAATAAAATTAAAAAAAAAAGAAAAATATATGAAATATACAATTTTTTCATCATAAAATATTTTTGTTTATTTCTCTTTTTAAAAAATATTCTATTTCCTTATTTGAGAGAAGAGAGAGAGAGAGAGAGCACACATGAGTATAGGGGAGGGGCAGAAGGAGAGGGAGAAGCAGGCTCCCCCCTGAGCAGGGAGCCTGATGCCACACTTGATCCCAGAACCTTGCCATTATGACCTGAGTGGAAAGCAGATGCTTAAACAACTGAGCCACCTAGGTGCCCCATCCTTGTTTATTTCCAGTAGTATTTCTTGATTTAAAGCCTAGCTTGTCTGATACAAATACAGGTACAGTAACTTTCTTCCTCAGAGTGCTTTCCTGTTATAACTTTTTCATTCCTTTATCATTCAGTTTTTCTGTGTGCTTAAATATAAAGTTGTACTTATAAGCAATATATATTCAAGTTTTTCATCTAGAATAAAAATTTTTTCTTTGTGATATTTAGTCAGTGTATTTAACACATTTACATACTTGTGTTTGAAATCTACATTTTATTTTTTGTTTTGTATTTGTCCTTTATTTTGAATTTCTATTTGTTTTCTTGCTTTTTGTATAAGTGGAAGGAAACCAAATGATACATAGGCATTGTTATTTTATTTACAAATAGCTATTTTTAGAAGGTCAAAAATTGCCACTTTGTTGAAATATTAGAGATAACATGAGGAAAGAATTGTTTATGCATACACACAGAGAAGATATTCCTCATAGGAATGGTGAAGATGGTCAACAGGATAGTTACAGAAGATCAAAGATTGGATGCTTATTATTATTTGAAACTGTAAATTTAGTGAAAGCAAAGACTGTATCTGTTTGATTTATTATCTCTTCTATTTTACAACATATAACATGTTGCTTTTTGAATGAATAACTGATTGGATACATGGATGAATGTGTTGACTGTGACTATAGCATATTCCAAAGATAGCACAGTGGAGTCCAAAAATCTTTATTTCAAGGTCTTGCCCTAGTGCTTTACAGTATGAATTCAATGAAGCACTAAATATTTCTGAGTTTCAATTACTCATCATGGGGTCATGGCGAGGCTTTAATAAAATAAAGGATGTCAACTCATTTTGAAACTGTAAATTTTTAGACACAAATTGTGCCTTATTAATAGGTACCGTTGATGGCAGCAATTTTAAGATATTATTTATCAAAACCTATTTATAGTGTTCCAGAATTAAAAACAAAATAAAAATTTTCCTTTGAGTGATGAAATGCATATTAATGTTTAATTTTTCAACCAGTAACTTTTAGAATGCCAAAAATAGTGTTATTCTTCACTTCTTGTTTTTTTTAAAGGTAGTAATTGTATTAAGCATTATAACTTATACTTTCAATTTATATTATCTCTGTATTCTTCCAACCATCTATGTTATATAGAGAAGCTATTAGTCTAGTGATTAGAGTCATGTTGCTGGAATTCAAATCCCAACTCTGACTTTTACTTACTTACATGCTATATAACTTAGGCTAAGTTATTTTTTGTATCTTTTTCCCTTGCTGTTCTCTTCTACAAAAGGAGGATTGTAATGGTTTTAGCCCACAGGGGTTGTTGTGAGACTTGAATGGGTTAGTACACCTACCATTTTGGGTAGTATGTAGAAATGCTCAGAAAATGTTTTCAATTGAAAATTAATATTCATAGTAATTTCTAAGAAATAAAAATTCAAACTTTATTGATGTAATCCTTACTTTAAGTTGAAAAAACAGAGTTTGGATGAAGTTTACTGAATTTCCAATGTCATTCAGTAAATGGAAGAGGTAAAATTTGAGCCTAGATCTTCTGATTGCAAGCTCATTGCTCTGCGCAATAATATTCTGCCCTCTATAACATAGAGCTTAGTAAATATTTTTGCATGATAATAATAGAAAGAACTTAATGAGGAATCTCCTCGGGAATTCTGAAGACAGTCAAAACTAGAAAAATTAAGTTTTTGGTTTTAATTAGTTGATACTTGTAGTTTCCTATCAGTGCATTTTTAAGAAATATGTGTATTCTTAATTGGAAGTAACTGCTTGTGTTGGTTCTGGAAGGAGGAATAAATCTGGCTTCTTACACCAAATTGTAATGAAAGCAAATACAATTACCTTAAGGTTAATTGATAAGGTTTTGAGGGAAGTATTATCTTATTATCTTGGATCACTGCCTGATTAATCCTAGATTCAGGCAGCCAAAGAATGGTATAGCTGAAAGGAAACTTCATGATTAGGTAACTCAATATTCTCATTTAGTAGATGAAGCCCTCAGAGGGTGAATAACTTTGGTATTATTGCACAGAGAGTCAGTTGAGCTAGAATTCAGGTCTGCTGATTCCCGGGCTAGTATTCCATCTGTGACAACGCGACTAATGCTTAGTTAAAATAAGTAACATGCTAGTAGAATTAGAAAAAGAATTAATTGAAAACATTGATACATTTAAGATTAAAGTTTAACTATGAGTGTTCTTTTCGAGAAAGACATACTAGAGCTTTTTTTTTTTTTATAAAGATTTTATTCATTTATTCATGAGAGACAGAGAGAGACAGAGAGGCAGGGACACAGGGAGAGGGAGAAGCAGCCCGATTCGGGACTTGATCCCAGAACTCGATCCCGGGACTCCAGAATCACACCCTGGGCTGAAGGCAGGCGCTAAACCGCTGAGCCACCCTGGGATCCCCAAGAGCTTATTTTAAAGCAGGATACTGCTATGCTCTTCAGGTACAATAGAGTACTGATTTCTCAGTCAATTTCTTTGTTGCTGTCTTTTATTATCTTTACTCTTTTTCAGATGTTGATTATCTGACTTGGGAATTCACCAGACTATTTGCTTTATTTTTTATCCCATCACATTGTGACAATTGTGGGCATTTTACTGCTCATTAGAATAGAAGTTAAAGAGAGGAGATACAATGAATGGAAGTAACACCTAAGTTCATACATTTTTTTCTTTTTCATAAATTCGAAGTATAATTAACATACCGTGTTATATTATTTTCAGGTGTACAGTGTAATGATTCATCAGTTCTATTTATTACCCAGTGCTCATCAAGATAATGTACTCTTGATCACCTTTAATTACTTCACCCCTCTCTCACCAACCTCCCCTCTGTCAACCTACATTTTTGATATAACTGTTCTATTGGTAGAGAAAATGGAAATTAATTTCATGGCTGTTTGTGAATTTGCCATTATTTTTCTTATGAAGCAACTACTTGTAATTTTTGTTTAAAACCTTATTTTAGGCTTCCTCCTGCAACAGGCGTGGGTCACGCTCTCGCTCGCTCTCTTTCCGCCGCCATCTTGGTTCCGCGTTCCGCGCACAAAATGCCTGGTGAAGCCACAGAAACCGTCCCTGCTACAGAGCAGGAGTTGCCACAGCCCCAGGCTGAGACAGGGTCTGGAACAGAATCTGACAGTGATGAATCAGTACCAGAACTTGAGGAACAGGATTCCACACAAGCAACCACACAAAAAGCCCAGCTGGCAGCAGCAGCTGAAATCGATGAAGAACCAGTCAGTAAAGCAAAACAGAGCCGGAGTGAAAAGAAGGCACGAAAGGCTATGTCCAAACTGGGTCTTCGACAGGTTACAGGGGTTACAAGAGTCACTATCCGGAAATCTAAGAATATCCTGTTTGTCATCACAAAACCAGATGTCTACAAGAGCCCAGCTTCAGATACCTACATAGTTTTTGGGGAAGCCAAGATTGAGGACTTATCTCAGCAAGCACAGCTAGCAGCTGCTGAGAAATTCAAAGTTCAAGGTGAAGCTGTCTCAAACATTCAAGAAAACACACAGACTCCAACTGTACAAGAGGAGAGTGAAGAAGAAGAGGTTGATGAAACGGGTGTAGAGGTTAAGGACATAGAATTGGTCATGTCACAAGCAAATGTGTCAAGAGCAAAGGCAGTCCGAGCCCTGAAGAACAACAGTAATGATATTGTAAATGCTATTATGGAATTAACAATGTAACCGTATGAAAACGAGGACTTTTTTTTGGTGTTTCAAAAGAATAACTACAGCTTGGTTTGAAATTTGTACTGTTTCTATCATTAATAAAGTTATGGCTGCTTGTTGGATGAAAAAAAAAATAAAAAAAAATAAAACCTTATTTTACATATCCTTTAATATGCTCTGATAGAAGTTTGGAAATTACCGAAAATACTACAAACTGCTAGGCAATGTTGTGAGAATTAAATAAGATCAAGTATATTAGAGTTAGTGGAAGTTTGTATAAAGCTTAATACAAAATATATTATCGTCCTTTTTTAAAACTAGAAAGTTTGTGATTCTTTTTGGCTTATCGAGCTTGCTACATCCTCCATGTTACATCCCAAACTAAAAATCTGTCACTTGTAGCACAAACAGATCTGGGTGATAAGAACTGAAAGAGTTGCTTGTACCACGGCAAGGACTAGCTGGAAGGCTCCTCTTATCCTGTGCTGTATTCAGAGTTGGCGGCCTTATAGAGTGTGAATGCTGAACCTACAAGTACTGAATAATGACAAATGTTGCTGTCAGAGCTCATAGTATTTAAGTGGATGTGCTATTGAGCTGCATGAACTTCTGTTAAAACATGATTTTTTAAATTTTTATCACCAGGTAACCTTGGACGGGTGGACCAGGTCTCTGAATTTGAGTATGACTTATTCATTCGGCCGGATACCTGTAATCCACGATTCCGAGTCTGGTTCAACTTTACTGTTGAAAATGTGAAAGAATCACAGGTGAGGGAAATATTGGATATCTTTAGTGTGGTTTTGGTAAGAAGATTATGCTTTTGTTTTACTTTATAAATCTCAAAATAATGTCCAGATTAAGAATATATACTTGTGTATCTCTAGCAATGATATAGTTTTAAGAGATATGCAGAGATGTACAGGTATAAAATGCTGGCTTTTATTATCTGGTGGATATTAAATAATACAAATATATTATCTAAGAACAAAAAATGTTCTTTATTGATTGAAGAATTAGCATAATGTGCTGGATTTCTTTGAGGAGTATTATAAGGAACCACTGGAAGTGACTTGTTACTATGTTTATTACAGAGTGCTGTTTTCCATATTACTTATTTTTTGTAAAGACTTGTGAGGGACATTTCTCACAGGCCTCAGTTTCAGAAAGAGTTTTCTTCTTTTGTACAAGCAAGTGGTTATATGTTAAAAATAATATGATTCTTATAACTCCTCCTACTTGCTTTTTTTAATCTGTTGGAAAATTCAAGAGCCAATTTTATAGCCCTTGCTAATGATTCTTGAAAACTTTGTGGCTTATACTTCTGTGTACTAATTTTTCTTTCATTCTGATCATATTAATCTGTCTTTAAACACAATTTCTTCATCTACATTTTCTATTTAGATGTATGTTTTTTCTATGTATGTTTTTTATAATCCTGTTCAAATATTTGGAGTGAGAGTATATTGTAAATATAACTAAATGCATATGACTTGAACAAACGTTAATAAACATCTAATACTAAGAAATCATTTATCATTCTGTTATATTAGGACATCTAATCATGGAAAGACTGCACAGTCTTTGTACATATAGCGATATGATTCTTTTAAGCAAATGAAAACATAGCCCCATAACCTAATATCTATCTGCCTTCTTCCTTCAGGGTCATCTTTCTCTAATATACTTGGGAGAAAGGGAAGGTTGGCTTAATTTTCCCTCCCAAGTCAGTCCATCCTGTTTGCTCCTTTAATTAGTTACTTGCTTCTCTCCATTTTTCTCAACTGCAATTTGATTCATGTGTCTGACATTGATCAGTGCCTGGAATTTAGGGACTGACTGGCATGCTGCCTTCAGCAGGAAAGGGTTGCAGGAAACAGTCACTTCACTCTACTGTTGATTCTCTTAATTCTTTCAACACCACTGGCACATGACTGTATGTAATAACACAGATGTATGTAATGTTTAATGAAGTTTAAGAGCTAACTGGAAGGAATTAAATAGATGGGAGAATTATCTATATTGTTGGCTAAACATGATTTAGGGTAAGTGGGAAAAAATTTTAAAACCATCACAGAAAGCTGCTTAGGGACATACTTTAGTTCCTAGCTTTGCTTCTTAGTTTCACTTATTCTCCAATGAGAGAATTCCTTTTTCAGCTTCTCATATTAAGAATAACAATATTTTCCCCTTTACCCACCTTAGGAAAACCTACACTTTTCCTGACCAGGGGTTCACCTGATGATAGGATTACCCACTTTTTCCAACAAAATTATTAGTAATTCACAAAATGTATTTTCAAGTTTATGTTACTGAATCCTAAGAGTATAATTTATAGCAGGAGACTATAGCCACATCTACAAGACTGAGTTTTGGCACTCCACCTTCAGGTCCTCTATCAAGATCTCTCTGCTTCTTAGATAGACACACAACCTCTCATTCTTCTGTTGGTGTCTCATGTCAGTAACTTATAGTTGTAACATATAGCACTGAAAAACAAACAATAATTCCGAAGCAATATAGTCAATTCATAAGAAGGAAGGGAAGCATTTTCTTAAAAGCAGTATAATCTGCCAGGATTTCTAATTTCCCAAAGGGGTTTACTATTTTCCTTTTTATGCATAGCACATGCACATCCTTTAGCTTGCATTTTGCATCCAGGAATTGACTAACTCCTAAGAAATGAGACCTGTTACTTTTCAAACAAAAGAATCTTCTATCCTAATTATATCTTTGCTAAATAGAGACTTAGTGAAAGCTCTGAAATTATTATGTTTCTTTAGCTTTGGGCCACATTAAATTCTTAGCCCAGTTTTTCTTGCATTTTAGTCTCTGTACAAATAATCTTACATAGCTCCTCTAGTCAGGGGGAGTGGTGGGGAGTGGTTTGATTAGACAGAGAAAATGTGGTTTTTTTTTGTTTTGTTTTGCTTTTGTTTTTAGAGGGAGAGGGAGAGAAGAGTATCTTAAGCAAGCTCCATGCTGGAGCTCACAACCCTGAGCTCATGACCTGAGCTGAAATCAAGAGCCCATTGCTCAACCAACTGAGCCATCCAGGTACCCAGGAAAATATGTTTCTTAAGTGATACTACCTGAGATAGATTTTTGGACAGGTTGCTCATAAATTTCAGTTTCTTGTTCTTTGCTCTTCTAGTTGCTTACAGGTATGTTCTTTTTGTTGTTTTAAAGGTTTCTTCCAGAATGTTATAATTTTTATACTATATGCTAAAGTCAGACAGCTCTTTTGCAGTCTTGTCTATCAGTTAAGCAAGTAACATGAATACATTCCAAGGAATTATTCTAATAAGAAAGTTGGTGCTGTTTTTATGAATGCTTATTTTTAAAGTTGGAGGAGCCAATATTTACTCTGACTCTCTTGGTTTCTATCTTCATATCCAGTGCTATTCTACTGTTGTTACAATTAGAAATCATGAACATGTTTATCTGGTTTCCTGGAGTGTGATTCTTTATCAGCCTCCTTCTTTGGGCCATTGCTTCATCAACTGTAATCACATAATATAGTTATGGAAATCTGTCTCAAGATGGCATAAAGATCTGCTAGAAAGATACAATATATATCTCTAGCTCACAGGATATTTGTTTTCATGGTTGTCTACATAAAAGAGAATGGTTTTGCTATTAGGTTTGACTTGTCAGGTCTGTTTTTATAATGTCTCTTCCTATCATCTTTTCTATCTCTCTAATTTCCGTTAAAATGAGACCTTCATGAATGTAATCTAGTCAGGAACCTTATTTAGGGTTTGGTGCTAGCAAGCAAAAGAAGTATTAGTCATCAAAATCTGAGTCCATTAAATGAATGTTAAAAATTACAGCATCAAATATACCATACAAACAAGTCTAGCTCTTTGGTTATTTCCCTTGACATTTGTAAGAAGTGATTAAAGCTTGAAACATATGGTGCTGTATTCTAGGACTGATAAAACCCCCCAAAGTAGTTGCTAAATAGTGTGTTTGCAAGAGTCTATGCAAACTAATGTCATGACATCTTTATTAAAAGGTAATTTTCTCTCTGAAGAACATGTATTAAATACTCTAATGTGGAAATTTATTCTTGATGCAGCAAAATACTTGTGTGATGTGAAAATGAATCTTCCTGTTTAAATACTCATGATAAAACTTCAGCTAGTAAGAGGGGGGGAAATGATATATCTTGACTTTTAAACACTCTTTTCTTTCCCTTATATTGTTTCTATCTCTTTAATTTTACCTCTTTTTGATTAAAGTAGTTGATGCTCAATGTGTTTGGAAAATAGAGACAATTATTAGAAGCAGAAAAAAAGCACACACGTAATCATACTATCTGGAAACAAATGTTACTAATGTCTTGGCATATTTACTTCTAGGCTTTTTATTTCCTACTTTATTTTTTGGAGCATAATTAAATTTTGTACCATATATGAATTTTTATGTTTTGCTTTTAAAGAAACTAAATAGTACGCAAGCAATTTTCTGTCACTAAAAACTTCATAAATATGGCTGTATAATAGCCTTCTACTACTGGACCATTTTCTTAATCTTGGGCGTAAAGATTATATTCCATTATCTGTTGTTATAAATAAGTGTAGTGAATATCTTCATGTATGAAATATTACCCTTATTTAATTTTGCTTACTTAGGATAAATTCCTAGGAGGGGAGTTGATAGACAAGTGATAAAAATATTTTCGAACTCTTGATACATATTCTATATTAGTACCAGAATATTTATGCCATTTTACTGTCCTTTTAGTGGTCAATGAGATCCTTCTCCTTGAATTTCTTGCTTTTAATTGTTTCCATGAATTCAGTATTTCATATATTTAGAATAAATTGTTTCTTTTTTCTCACTTACTTTGAAATTTTACACAGGTAAATGGGATATAATGTAGTTATATATAGTACATATACATATATATGTAGTTTCAGGACTCTAGTCATAAAGGAATTAATTACATTCCAGCAACAACGTGAGACAACAAAACAGATCTATTTATTATTTTGGCTCTTTTTCTTAATTCATCAATCCTCTTTAGTTTGGTTGTGCCAACCAACCTCTGAGGTATGTGATGGAAAAATTTTTTTTAAAAGTGTTTTTTAAACTATGAAGTATTTCTTACATTACTATAAGCAGTGATGTTGCTTAATCACACACACACTTTTATATATAACATGTCTGAATTGAACTTCAAAATTCCAATAATTTGCAGTGTCTTTAGTCTCCATGCTGGAGATTTTAGTTCAGTGAAACATCATCCTGGTGAAAATTATCAGTGCACTGAGGCAGCATATCACAGTAGAAAGAGCATAGACAATGGACTCAAACACATTTGATTTAAATCCTGATTCTGATACTTGTGAGTTGTTTTATCCTTGATCAGTTAATCTAAGTTTTCCATCTGTAACTGAATATAATACTACAACTTCATGTAAGTATTATAAAAATTATATGAGACTATGTATGCAAATTTCCTACTGTAGTGTTTGTAGATAGATATTAGGAGCTCATATTTTTTTTTAGGTTTACTAGTATCCTATTTGTATTTTGGAATATATTATTTACTGGTTCCAGAGCTTTTTCTCTTCTGTCTTATGCTGCCTTTCAAAATATCATCTCAATAGATGCATAGAAATCAATAGCTAAAATTTAAAACCCATTTGAGCAAGATTTGAGCAAAGTAGGATGAGAAAAGATCTTTTTTAATTGATAAAGGATCTCTTCAGAGAATCAAGATCAAGCATCATACGTAATTATGAATGAAACTTTAAAAGCA